AGTGTAGCTCACGTAGGATACCTGGGGTAGTCAAAATTGCAAAGACAGAGAGAGCAATGTTTCCAAGGATTGGAGAAAGAGGGGAATGAGAATCTATTGTTCAATAAACAGAGTTTCAATTTTTCTTTTTTATTTATTGTTTTCCACTAGTACATGTTTGCAGTACACAGTGAGCACATTTATTGTGGGTAGTTGGAATATTCACATAACAATTAATTCTTTTGCATCCTCTCCCACTCAACATCTCCTAGTCCCCTTCCTATTTGCCAAATCCCTATCTCCTATTTCACTTCATCTATCTTTTATTTTGCTCTTTGATTTACTTATACTTTAGCTTTGTTTAGTAGCAGTATCATAGCCATTGAAGCTTATGTGTGGTATGATTATTGCTAATTGATTATTTATACTATGAATTTCTCATATAAGAGAAAAAATACAATTTTAAAATGTGTATGTCTGATTTACTTCACATCATGAGTTAAAGATGCATCCACTTTACTACAAATAACTCAGATTTATCATTCTTTATGGCAGAATAGTATCTAGCATGCAAGTTTATAGCAGCACAATTCATAATAGCAAAATCATGGAATCATGTGTCCATGAACAAATGAATGAATAAAAGTTTCCAATGCGTAAAATGAAGAGATTTTGAAATGGATACTGGTAATAATACAAAAAATGTTAATGTACTTAAACTACTGACCCGTGTACTTAACAATGATTACAATCACAATATTACATGTATTTTACAAAAAAAAAGTTACACAGAAGAAAATTTTAACATGCGTTATAACACGAATAGATCTTGAAGATATTATGCTGTGTAAAATAAGTCAAACAAAAAAGAACTATTGTAGGATTCCATTAACATGAGCTACCTAGAGTAAGTAAAATTCACAGAGACAGAAAGCAGAATGGTTGTTGCCCAGGCCTGAGAAGAGGAAGGAGGAGATGGGGAATCCAGGTTTAATACAGACAGAGCGTCCCTCTGAGTTGGTGAAAAGTTCTGGAGATGGACAGTGTGATGGTACCACAATATATGTAATACCACTGACCGTACTCAAAATGGTGCATTTTTATGTACATTTTATCACAAAAAAATACAATTTAAATTTTTTATTCTTTTTTAATATTTCTATTGATTCATAATAACTACTTTTTTGTAGTGCTGAGGATGAAATCCCTGTTCACACACATAAATATGCTATCCAAGGACTCTACCACTAAGATATTCCCACAGCCTACTATACATTTTTGGTTTTTGTTTTAAGGAGAAAGAGCTGTCAAGTATTCCATCAGATACATGTAATTAGTCAGCTCACTGACCCCTTTCATTGTCTGGGGAGCTCTCTGAGTATGATGCAATTGTGGCTAGTATTTATGCCAGGCAGCACATTAAGCACCTAACAAGTGTATTCTCTTTATTTACTCCTCTCTACCATCTCACAGAACAGGAACCATGATCATTCATACTTAACAGGGGAAGAAGCAGAAAACTAACAGTCAGTGACTTGATTCACAAATCTGACTCTAAAGACTGCTCTCACCTGATCTTCTGAAGCAAAGGTCACAGAAAACGTTGGCCTCACCTTTTGATGTTTAAAATAGACCTTAGAATCATAGATCAACGTCAAATGCCCCAAATTATAAGTAGTTGTATGCTAGGTTAAGGAAAATAAGCCTTCTTTTCTAACTATACTCACATCATCTTTGTTCAAAAAAGCTGTAATTGGCTTTGAGAGCTGCAGGCTTCATTGTGTAGCACAGGTATGCTGAACGGGGGTCAGTGAACTTCCTTAATGTTATAGAAACATTAATATTTGAGGTTTGAGAGGGAGGAGTCACGATGCTGCCTTCATGGCACATTAGCAGCTATTGTAGTAAGTGAATCAGCAGGACCTTGGCTGTATGTCAATAAAACTTTATTTATAAAAATAAGCATTAGATTTGGCGGTTCCTCAAAAAGTAAAACAGAATTACTGTAAGAGCCAGTCATTTCACTTCTAAATACATGCACCTAAAATTAAAAATAAGAGTTTACATACCCCAAAAATGGTACACAAATGTTCATAGCAGGCCTATACATAATAACTATAAGGTAGAAACAGTCCAAATGCCAATCAAAGAAAAGAAAAACAAAATGTGGTATATCTATACAATGGAATAGTAGTCAACCATAAAAAGGAATGAAGTACTGACAATTGCTGCAACATAGGGGAACCATGAAGACATTATGCTAAATAAAAGAGGTGGAAATAAAGGCTACTAAAAATTTTATTTATTAAAAAAATCCAGAATAGGAAAATTTATAATGAGAAGACATAAAGCCAGATGGAAAAATAAGGGTCACGATCTCAGGGCATAATAAGAAATTTAGATTTTAATCCAAATGCAGTGGGAAGTCTACCAAGGATTTTCAGCAAGAGTCAGAAAATCAGGTTTGTCTTTTGGAAACAGGACTCTCAGTTAATCCAAATGATAGATTCAGAGATGTTTAGAAACTAGGAGAGGATTTGCAAAATACTTAGATATTTTACAGTGCACAAATAGAACTTTAAGACAACTTCTCATGGAAAAGAAAAGCTGGCCTATTAGAAGTTCTTTCTTAATCAAATGCAGACTCCTCTTTCAAATGGGAACAAAAAACTTTTCTATAAAAAAAAGCGCACAGAGAAATTGAGAACCATTGTAAGAGTTTCTTTGCGAGGCATAGAAAGTGTTGAGCAAAGCAAAAATTATAGAGAAATAAAACATAATATGAGAATCTACTTTCTACTTTTAACTAAGACCAATAGGAAAGAGCTTGCAGTCTTTCTAAGAATAACAACTGAAGCAAGAAAGTAAGATAATAATTATTATTACTTATGTTAATAATTAAATTGGACTACTTAAATAAAAGATGCCTTGGGGGCAAAGACTGTCGAAGGAATTCCATTATAAAACTTTCATTTGCAGCCTGTAGTCTCTCAGCATCACTAATTAATATTCTCTCCATAAACAAATAAGTATCGAGGAGGTTGGCATACTGCAGAAATACCACTTATCACGGGAAATGGTAGAGAATAAACAAGATAAAAGGACAGAGGGATCACACTTGTGACTCTTATCTTAATAAAATGCTTCTCAGGAACAACTTGGCAAAATTCACTTCTACCATATGCCTGGCAGATTAACAGCTTCAAGACAATTGCAAGGTTAAAAACCAGTGTGAAGCTCAGTCACCAAATTTAAATATTGGGAAAATGTTCATTTTGTTCTATTCATCATTTTACGGCAGGTTTTGTGTTTTGTGGTTAGGTTGGGTTCATCTTGATTGTTTAATGGCCAGAATTTGATTTAATAACTTGATTTACTCTACATATCATTGCTCATCTAACACCTGCAGACATAAATTCTTTGCACAGTTGAGGCAGTGACTCACAAGAATTCAGAGCATGGACTTGGAAGTCTGAGGGACATGGGTTCAAACCCTAACCCTACCATTAACTAAAGGTGTAAGTTAGGTTGGAGTTTTACCTTGATGGCTTTGAAATCTTCCCAGGGAATGGTGGAACACACTTCTAAGTATGTCTAGCTGCATCGTGGAGGTATGGCCATCCAATCAATGTCTGACCCTGGCTCCTTCCTCTCTGCCATTGTTCCCTGCTCTGTTTCCTTTTTGCCATGGGTTGAACAGCTTCCCTCCACCATGATCTTCCACCATGTCCTTCTGCTTTGGAGTCCATCAACCATGGTCAAAACCTCTCCTTCTTCAAGTTGTGACTGTTGGGTATCCCGACCCACCAACAAGAAAGTGACTAATGCAGTCAATCATCATCCTAGACAACTTATGAATCATCTGGTGTCTTCATTTTCTCATCTGTAAAATGAACATGATAATACTGTTTAACCTTACAGAACTTTCTACACACATTTTTTGTTTTTGATGCCTCCTCAGGACCAAACACAGTATTGGCTCTTGGGGACCAAAAGGAGAATTAGTCTTTCCTCTCCAAATGCAATATATAATTACATAAGGGCAAAACTAAAATGCAACTGTCTTAGTTACTTTTCTCTCATTGCTAGGACAAAAGACATAACACCCAAAATTAAGGAAAGAAAGATTTATTTAGCTTACAGTTTGTGGAAGTTTCAGTCTATACTCAATTGACTTCAAGGCAGGGTGGCATGGCACAGAGGCTGCTCATGGCAGCAGCAAATACCAAAGACAACAAGAGCAAAAAGGCAAAAAGAGGAAAGCATGCCTCCTTATCTCCCCCTTATATTGTATGCTAGCTAACCGTCCCTGGACAGTGCATCACTTACATCACCAATTCCAGCAAACCAACCACAAACATCAGACTCAGCCGCCTTCAAAAGGCCTTTAGAGCAACATTAGGAAAGAGGAAAACTGTAACTTTAGATCCCAAGATATTTTAGTTGAATGTAGAAAGATTAATCTTATTGCTAAAAATAATTATGTTATTTTTAGTAAGGAGATTACTAAAAATATGCTCCAACATAAACCTTTGTCATTTATTGCATTTTTTTCTTTTTCTTTTTTTTTTTTTTTCACCAGGGATCAAACTCACAACCTCATGCTTGCCAGGCAGGTGTTCACACCACTGAGCTAAATTCCCAACCCCACCTTTGTCATATATTAACCACCCATTATCCCTTACAGAATTTTAAAGAGTACCTTTTATAAGAAAGTTCACCCCACCACTTTGCATTCCTGTCAATAAGTGGCAGTTATCATGGAGTTATTATTATGCCACATCCCTTCCATTGAACAGGAGATGCTGAGAAACAACACACTCCGAGCCAGCTCCTACACCTAGACCACTGACATTCAACAAATCTAAGTTGTGTTTCAGAACAGATAAATACCTGATTCCTGTGACTGCTTTAGTTACCAAATTCAAACTCGACTTTCAGAACAATCTTATTCACTTTAGTTAAAACGATACCACCAACCTGGAGATCAGGAGTCAGGAGGGCAAATAAAATGTGGGGTAGTGCTCACTTCTGCAGCACACTAAAATTGGAATGATACAAAGAACATTAGCACGGCCGCTGCACAAGGACGACATGAAAATTCATGAGGCATTCTGTATTTTTCTACTAATTCTATTAGTTCTTGAAAAAGAACAGTTAATACTCTTATAATTAGATCAATTTTGCATGTCTATATCTGGCAATCTAAGCAACCTTTTTGAAGGTGACAATATGCAACATCACAACCATTGTTAAATTCCTATCATCTTGTTTTGAAAACTTATACTGTTACTGTTTGGGGTTTGTTGTTGTTTGTTCTTTTCTTTTGCTTTCTGTTTTTCTTTTCTGTGTCTTTTTCTCTTAAATTAAAATTAATAAATAAATTAAATGTGGGGTAGTAAAGGTCAGTAAATTTTGAGCTCGGTAAATATTGCCAACTATTAACATTAGTAATAACCATAGTAATAACTACCACTAATTAATTGTCTACTATGTGCCTTCAGTACATTATCTTATTTAATCCTCATCATGGTATATTAGTTCTAAAGCTCTGTTAGTCTTCATTTTCTTTAGGAAACCTATGATGATAAGAAATTTTCCCAAATTATCCAACTGAAAATTTTAACTCAACTGATAATTCTAACTTCTGCTTTTGGAAACACAAGTACTTAATCACAATGCCATATTATCTGCCAAGTACATACAAACCTTAGACAAACATAAGTATATCAACAGTGTTAGTTTCCTAGGGGTACTATAACAAAAAAAAATAAACTGGGTGATTTTTTAAAATTTACTATCTCAAGTCTGGAGCCTACAAGTCCAAGATCAGTAGGGTAGACTTCTTTCTGAGAGCTGTTAGGAAACACCTCCTCACTACTTTCTCATAGTCTCTGGGCAGTTTTCTAGCAATCTTTGGCATTCCCTGGCTTATAGTCTTCTGCCTTCATCTTCAAATGGCATTCTCCTTTCATATATATTATAATAAAAGCACAAGTAACATCAGATTAAGAGCCCATGCTAGTGTAGTCTCATCTTAATGAATCTCACGTGCAACAGCCTTGTTTCCAAAGAAGAACACAATATAAGCAAATGGGTGCTAAGAGTTCAGCTTATGAATTTTGAGGTGGACATAATTCAATCCAAAATATCACAAAAACACATTGCCTCTGTACTTATCTCTGTCTCCACCACCACCCCCCAAAGGCATAGGTGGGAGACAGAAAGGAGGAGAGGATCTACACAGGCGCACACACACCAGAAGATGTAACTCTTCACCGCAAACCTCAAAGAGTCATTTATCCTACAGGAGAAAGAGAATTGAAAAGGGTTGCAGTGTAAAAGATGTCAAACCAAAGATAAATGTACTCTCAGAGGCAACAACTTCCAGAGATTTGAAGTGGTAAGTTTTTGAAAAATGGACACAAGAGGAACAAAGGTTGAGTTTTGTGAAATCATTGATAACCCCAAGATAACACCGTGCTTTCCCCATGATTATAAATGGGGGATATGAAATGGAACTTCTATTGTGTGGATTTCAAAGCCCACGGTGGCCCAGGAGCAGTGAATCATTTGTAAGGTAAAGTACTTCCTTTGAGCCCAGGGGAAACAGAAATAGGCAGATAAAAAATGGAAATGCAGGTACTAGATTTATGAGCAACCTGATCTCTGAACATTGCTTTTCTATATTCCTTAAAATGGACCAGTCCTGTGGCCCATGTGGGAATAAAAGTTTAAGATTAAACATCAGAAACAAAATCTTTCCATATTTCCCACACTCTTACAGGAAACTTCGCACAGGTCCCTCTCCAGTGAATAATAGGCATGATGTAAAATGCAGATTTCTTTCTATAGCAATGGACATCAGTTAAAGAACATTCTTTAAATTTTCAAATACTTCCTGACTGGTAGCCTTACGGTGGATGCTGTCCCTGGTTCTAAAAAGAGCACCTGGGGGAAGTCGTACAGACTTGATGGGTTTGAATAATGAAATCACAAGGATTTTGCAAGGGAATTCGAGTGCCCATTTTGGCAGGTAGAAGAATAGTAATGGAGATACAAAAGGGCACATGCCTCGAATTTCTCTTGTCTGTCATCTAAAGAATTCTTCACTGCAACCTCCCCAGATGATCTTTCATGAAAGCCAGTGTAGGTAATCGCATTCCAAATATTTTAAGAATTCCCAGTGGCTAAGATCCTTTCACTATGGAGTAGTGTACCTCGTGTATTTACCATAAGGAGTCAGCACTTTACTTTTGAGCTCCTCTTAACTAAGGGAAGAAAAAGTTCTCCAAGAAAGAAGGTATTCCCTTGCCTTGAAGAGTTTTAATGTAGCTGTGGTTGTATAAAAATGTTATTTCCAATGTTAAACAATATTTTAGTAGAAAAAAGATTGAAAAATGGCAATCTTTGTAGGTCAGTTCCCACCAGCAGATACTTTATGGGGGGATCTACCATCCCTCCTCCACATATCATCTCATTTCTAATTTTAAAAATTTTCAAGGGTAAAGGAAAGTTGAAATCACAGCATAATTATTATTGAGATAATATGCATGTATGTATTTTGAAAAAGTTATCAGAAAATAAGTTCCAGATGACAGGATATTTCAGCCTGGTATACTTTGGTGTGATTTCTTAATTATAAGGATGTTCTTGGGCTGGGGAATATAGTTCAGTGGTAGAGTTTGTGGTTAGCATATGCAAGGCCCTGAGTTCAATCCTCAAGACCAAATAATAATGACATTCTCTAGTACAGTCACAATCCATTATCATACCCAAGAAAATAAAAATAACTCTACTAACTCCTCTCATTGAACAAACAAAGTCTACTACAGCTGTTGGATAGTTTACTTTTTAAATTTGGGAAACCCACATAAGAATACAGACTTCACGTTTTGCTTGAAAAATCTGAAAATCTGACACAACTAAACCTCAGAGCATTTGCACTTGCTGTCCTTTTGACTGACAGTGTTCCCAAGATACATACTTGTCTCACAACCTCACTTCCTCCAATTCTTTGTTTCAATATCCCTTTCTCAAAAATGGCTGACGTAAGAACCCTATTTTAAAAGATGGCCCACTGCCCATTCCCCCTACAACATTCCCGATGCCCTTTACTCTGCTTTCCTTCCTCTTTGCACAGGTCACCTACTACACTGTATGTAGTTTGTCTATCTATTATGTGTTTTACTTTCTATTTCTCTGTCTTAGTTATGCAGTCAAGCATATAAAAAAGCACTGGAGATGCAAATGCAAAATGACACAGCCCCTGGGAGAAACACTTTGGTGGGTCTTCAGTAAGCTAAATACAGAATCACCCTGTGGCCCAGCAACTCCACTCCTAGGCATAAAACCAAGGGCTCCAAAAAATTTGTGTACACAAATGAGCTCAGTAGCACTATTCTCTATAGCTCAATGGCCTATGGTATAAACAAGTCAGATGTCCAGTAATGGATGAGTAGATAAACGTGATCAGTATAGCCAGACACTACCTACTATTCACTCATAAAAACTGAAGCAATATTATATGTGAAAATATGGAAGAAACTCAGAACGTTAAAAGGATAATAAGTCATGTTCAAAAGATCCTATATTTTATAACTGTACTTACCATATGCACTATCTATGAAGACAAAAAGAAGATAGATGCCCAAAGCTGGTCTGAGGAGAGGGATGGTAAGTAGCTACTGAATGGGTCCAAGTTTTTGTTTGAAGATGAAACTATTTTGGAAATAGCTAGAGGTGGTTGTTGCACAAATTGTGAGTGGACTAAATGTCACTGACATGTTCAATTTAAAGTGATTAATTTTGTTGGATCAAAATATTTAAAGAGAAACATTTACTCTGCTAGAAGACAGAATTGCTAAGACTCTTCCAGGACATCAGCATAAGTGAAGGTTTTCTGAATAGAGCCTCACCCAGTCACACACAAAAATAATACCTAGAATCAATAAATGGAATCCTATTAAATTTAAAAAGCTCTGCACAGCAAAAGAAACAATCAAGAGAGTAAAGAGACAACCTACAGAATGGGAAAAAATTTGCCACCTCTTTCTAAGATAGAGGGCTAATATATAGAATGTATAAAGAACTCAGAAAAATCCCCCCTAATTTAAAAACTCAGTTAAAATGAGCATCTAAAATGAACAGATGTTCTCAAATGAAGTAGTTCAAAGAACCAACAAATACATGAGATAATGTTCAAATTCGCTGGCAATTTGAGAAATAAAAATCAAAACAATACTGAGATTCCGTCTCCAGAAAGGATTACTACCTTCAAGAAATCAACTAATGAAAGATGCTGGCCAATCTGGGTTGCCTTTCTTCACTGTTAGTGGGAATTGAAACTAGTGCACCACTGTAGAAAGCAATATGAAGATTTCTCAAAACACTAAAAGTAGAAATTTCATTTGACCCAGCTATATTCCTTCCAGGAATCTTCCCCACAGAGTTAAATATATCATATTACAGTCACAAATGCAAACTCATGTTTATAGCAGCACAATACATAATAGCTAAATCATGGAAGTAACCTCTACGGCCACCAACAGATAAATAGATTAAAAAAAAAATGTGGCATTTATACACAGTGGAGTATTATTCTACCATAAAGAAGGATCAACTTGAGTCATTTGTAGGAAAATTGGATACATCTTGAGATCTTAACGTTAAGTAAATCAGACACACAAGCTTAAATATCATGTGATTTCTCTTGAGAAACCTAACATATAAATAAAATGCAAATTAAGATACAATAGGGATAAAATAGATTAAAAAGTTACAATAATCTACTGTAGACAATGCATCTAAAAGTGTACTTTAATTTATTATAATTGTCTTATATATTTTATATGTTTTAGCCTGGTTATGGGTGATAAAATATGTTATATACATGTGTAAATCCACCAAAATGAAACACATTGTTAATCTGTGCTTATGACAATTAACTTGATAAAAACTTATAAAATAAATCTCATGCTGACAAAAAAGGGGGTGGCAGAGAAGAGGAAAATAAAGAATTTGAGGTGTGCTATGCATATGTTATATACCAATGCTATATATGTTATATACCAATGTTATATACCAAAGAAGGTAATCATTATGTACTGTAAACACGCAGGAGC